TTCATCCTCGCGGATGAGCACGATGGCCGATGTGCTCACCCCCAAGTATAAGAAGAGCGTCTCACTAGGCTTGGTCTTGGAGAGGAAGAGAGGAGACAAGGTACTGCTTCGGAGGCTCGCTGGCACTACGTCGTCCACTTAAAGTTGTTGGCTTTGCGCATGATCTGAAGAAAGGTAGTGATCTTTCGGTCAATTTTTAGAGGAAACGATTCATAGCCGCATGGCGTCCCGTCAGCCGTTGGACCTCTTTGACATTGTGTGGCGGCTCCATATTGACGATGGCCTGGATCTTCTCCGGATTTATTTCACTGCCCCTTCCACTGACCATGTACCCCAGGAACTTGCCTCCCTGGACGCCGAAGGTGTACTTTTTTGGGTTCAAGCGGAACTGGAACTTCTTCATTATTTCGAAAATCTCCCGGAGGTCGTCAGAATGAGTGGTTGATTGTTTTCTCTTGACGATCATGTCGTCGACGTAAACCTCCATCGTCCGGCCGAGTATAAGTGGCGCCAGAGTTTTTCAGCCCAAAAGCCATGACGAGGTAGCAAAAATTCCCTCCGGGGTCATGAAAGTTGTCCTCTCGGCATCATCCTCGTGCATGAAGATCTGGTGGTATCCTCTGAAGGCGTCGAGGAACGACATCAACTCGCATCCTGCTGTTTCGTCCATCAATTGATCAATGTTGGGGAGAGGGAACGGGCCCATAGGACACGCCTTGTTCAGGTCCGTGTAATCGACGCACATTCTGAATGTTGGCGGCTTTTGGGCAAGGATGACGTTCGCCACCCAGGTAGGGTACTTCATCTCCTTGATGTGGTTGATGGAGAGGAGCATAATGACTTCCCCTTTGATGAAGTCCCGTATTTCGGCTGAGAGGTAGCGCCGCTTTTGTTTAACCGGCGCAGAGGCCGGGTCGATTGAGAGTTGGTGGGTGACCACCTTGCGGTTGATGTCTGGCATATCCTCCGCCCCCAACGCGAAGATGACGGCGTAAGACAAGGAGGGTGGCGTTGCGTTGATCGTGGGGGGAGTCGTCTCCCGATCTTCAGGACCCGCTCCGGCTGGGAGATGTCTTAGGGGACCTCCTTGACGTCTTCCGCTGGCTTAGCACGTGGTCTCTCCTCATCCTTGGTGGCGGCCATAGTGATGGTGTCCACCCTTTCCTCGGCGTAGTCGATGCCGTCATTGGTGGGGAACTTCAAGCAGAGGTGCTTCATTGAGATGATGGCCTCCAAATCCTCCAATGTTGGTCACTCCCAAATCAGGTTGTGGGCGCACTCGAGGTTGACCACCACGAACTCCTTGCGGTTGATGTCTGGCATATCCTCCGCCCCCAACGCGAAGATGACGGCGTAAGACAAGGAGGGTGGCGTTGCGTTGATCGTGGGGGGAGTCGTCTCCCGATCTTCAGGACCCGCTCCGGCTGGGAGATGTCTTAGGGGACCTCCTTGACGTCTTCCGTTGGCTTAGCACGTGGTCTCTCCTCATCCTTGGTGGCGGCCATAGTGATGGTGTCCACCCTTTCCTCGGCGTAGTCGATGCCGTCATTGGTGGGGAACTTCAAGCAGAGGTGCTTCATTGAGATGATGGCCTCCAAATCCTCCAATGTTGGTCACTCCCAAATCAGGTTGTGGGCGCACTCGAGGTTGACCACCACGAACTCCATGTCGATTTTGTGTAAGGAGAGAATCCTCGGCCTGTCCATCCTTAGGCGCCATGGGCGCTCCTTCCTGCTTTGTCCACCGTTCCCTGGGCAGGCCTATCCTCCCTGACCCTGGTCCCTGGTCGAGGGTGCGCTTGGAGCCGGTGCAAGGTTTGCCTTTAAAAACATCCTCACCCGCTTTGGCGTTCCTCAAGAAATTATCTCCGACAACGACACTCAATTTGAAGCCGCACCCTTCCAAGAGCTCCTCCAGGCATGGGGAATCAAACATCGTTTCTCCTTCGTTGCCTATCCTCAAGGCAACAGCAAGTCGAGAATGCCAACAGAACCATACTAGAGGGCTTGAAGAAGCTTGAGGACGAAGGAGGCAGCTGGACCGAAGAGCTCAATAACATCCTATGGTGTTACCGCACTACGTCGAGGAGAACAACGGGCGAAACACCTTTTGTCCTATGCTATGGCTTTAAGGCGAAGGCACCAACGGAGGTCACGATACCCAGTCGACGGGTTGAGCAATATGAACCCGAGGCCAACGAAGAGAACATGAAGATAAATCTGCACTTGGCCGACGAAAGACGTGAGTAAGCTTACATCCGGGCGGAGAATTACAGGCATCAGGTAAAATCATACTATGACGCCAAGTTACGTTTCCGAGAATTTTAAGTGAGGGACTACGTCCTCCGCCGAAGGGAAGCAAACAAGCCGACAGAAAGAGGCAAAATAGCCCTGAAGTATGAAGGGCCTTACATCATCAGTGTCGTGATCAAAGCCGACACGTACAAACTCAGAAACCCTAATGAGTCGGAAGTACCACGATCATGAAATGTACACCATCTGGTGAAGTTCTATCAATAATCCGAAGGTGGTGTAGCCGGCAAAGCCCTCACCCCTAAGGTAAAAAGCTCAATAAGAAGCTAACTCCTGAACGGGTTATTGATAGATTATCACCCTCGGCTTCGAGCCACTTATATTAATGAAAGTTGTTTTCCGTTTATTTTTTGTAAACTTAAGTAAAGGATGCCACACAACACAATACATCATATCGTCCCTTAGAGCGAAACGCTCAGGTATGGCCCATAAATTTTTTATTTTCAGATTGTACAGAGAATACTTTTTCATATATATCTTGATTACCCAAGCTAAGTGAGACTGTTCAGGGTATCTTCCTAGTAAGTGATGGAGTATATGAGATACACTGTTGTTTACTACACAATAGTTTGGAACGACTGAATAAGATTGATGATTTCAGTTTTTATGGTGTTCCTTCTATGAAGTATATTCATACTGAATTGGGAGTAGGATTTACTGGAAAGTATAAGCAAAATGTTAAAACACTGCTCGAATGAAAACACATGGTTCTGATTTTTCTCAGTTGACTAAAATGTTTGGCATACATGACTACATGAGTATTGTTGTTGTCAAAAGAAGTTGGAACTTGGAAGTCTGCAAAATCGGTGGCCATGTCAAATTGGATGAAAGGAGACGACAGATTCAAGAGTTCATTGATGTGAGCGGCCCTTATACGTTATTACTTATGAATACTAGAGCCGGCGAATGGGGAAGAAATCCTAAGTTGATGAATAGCATTGTGTTTGTCTTTTCTTATGGCCAAATGCATTGTTTTGGATAGACTATTACTTGAATCCTTGCTTTATGTGTTGGAACGTAGTGATCCGGTTGCCTTTTTTGTAGCAAAGGTAAAAGATTTTGATATTTTTGAGATCTTCGGAATGCGGAAAATGCGGGCTGAAAATCTTCTGTATCACGTGTTACCGCACCTTGGTCAGTTTACTGGGCATTCAAAGCTTCCTATGTTGAGAAATGCTACATTTATGTGTCAAACTTCTGTCGAGGCAAGCCGCTCTGTAATCTCTTGATAATGTCCAGATCTAAGTATTGTTATTGTGTGCCATTAAGGGGTGGAGAACATTTTGAAAGTAGGCGAGACAGACAGAAAATGGATTGAATGGTGGGGTCAATTTAGAGGCGCAGATGATTAACAAATATGAAGGACTAGACATGATTGTGAATCCCAGATTCTAGACAACGAGACATATAAGTGGCAGTGTATGGATCAGGTGCACAATTACTCCAAAAATTGGCATTTAAAGTGCTTGGGCAACCTAGCTCTTAATCCTGTTGCGAATGAAATTGAAGTAGTTATTCTTTTATCCATTCACTAAGACGGAACAAATTAAATTCGAAGCGTGCAGAAGATTTGGTGTTCATTCACAATAATCTGCGCTTACTTTCAAGAAGTTCTGCCGAGTATGAAGATGAGAACACTAAGATGTGGGATGTTGGTGGTGAACAATTTGCAAGCTTGGAAGATGTTGGTGTTCTTGAGTTTGCAAATCTATCATCGGATGAACCTGATCTTGAACGTGTCTTTTTTAATGGAGATGTTGATCTCGTGGAAGTTGCCTCCACTACATTTTAATTTGTTTTTATGGATGTTGTGTTTAATGTTTTGTTATGTATTAAGATTTCAATACTTTTGTGGACTAAGATTTCAATAATTTTAGACCTCAATATGGTGAAATAATCTCATGTGGCATGTTTGTACATATATATGTGTGTGTAAATATATATATATATATATACACATATAAGAAAAATTCACAAATATATATATATATATATAATATTTATAAATTAACCCCTATATTTTTAATATTTGCGCATTTCCCCCGCATTTCGTGTCCTGTCTTTTTGGTAAATGGCGTTACCGACGTTTCCCGCTTCCCATTTCCGTGCTACTTAGACCATCACTCATCTACCAATAATAGTAAAACAAAAATAATATGGAGCCCACTTTTTTACAAGAAATTCACTCATTTAAGACATCAAAAACTAATAGCAAACCATCAAATAAATGATATCGGAAATACAATCACTTATTTGATATTTTAATATTAGTTTTTGGTGAATTAAATGACTAAATTTTTGATGAAAAAATGCTTTATATCACTTTTGGTCTATATTTAAATAGTTGGTATTATAACAAGTTATTTCCAAAGTACGTATTATTTTTAGTTCATGGAATGAGGGAAGAGGAGAGCAGGCTGTTTGACAGTTGGAAAATAGAAGTGTAGAGCTCTGGCACTCTCAAACTTGCCCAGCAAACTGTTTTCTTGTACATTTCCTACCCTGTACATTTCCTACTGTGAATATTGAATAAACCTTTAGCTGTGTATGATTTCCTTTTTGGCAATAATATGTGGTTCATATCATTTCAAAATTTTGTACTCAATGTCTCAAAACTCAACCACATCTTTTCTACCACTTTATTAGTAATTGTGCCAAACTAAATGAGAAAATTAATTTGGCATGCAGGGAGTATTATTATTTAAGTAGGTGGTCATATATAGAGGTTTCTCACCAGATGTGCATTGTAAATCCTGTGCAGCACAATGTCAGACTGATATTTCAATACATGATCATCAATTTTTTCAATTCCTTTAATGAGTTTAGAGACTCCCAGAAATGCCCACGTACCCCAAAGAATTCTTTCAATGAACAAAATCGAGCTCCTTTCTGGTGATCTTATCCGGAATAGAAACATTCTGCTTAGCAGGGGCTAGAAGAACAATTACAATAAACATCAGTGCTTCATACTTCCTGGTTTCATCTTGATGGTTTAATTTAAATCTTTATGAATGATCTTCAAAGACAGTCTTTCTAAATTAATCCAATAATTCTTGATGGTCACCTACCGTATGTTTTATTTCAGCTAGAAGTACCCAATGTCTTTTATATTGCCAAGAAAGAACATGTTATCAACTATGATTGATATGGAAAAAACTTGCAAGAAAAGTTATGTATGAAGAATTGGTGGTCGACTAAGGTAGATTTGTGTTTGGTGATCGTTGACCAAGATTGAACTTTTAATAATGTACTTAGTTAAAGTAACTGATACTTGAATTATTTGATGATTTTTGTGTGTTTACATATGTTTAATGTTTATTATTTGCTTCATTTACAGTGTAAGAATAGTTTAAAAATCTTATTTATGACATAGTTGGAGTGTTGGACATTGGCTAATTGGTTTAGTATGTGCAGAGTGTACTAGACTTTAATGCTAATAGAAGAAACTTAACCCATTGAGCTAAATGCCTATACTAGTGCCCATTTGATAAAGTCAGTTCCTTGTTTTAATCTCCTGGGAACTGGCAGGAAAAAGTAATAAATAAATAAATAAGGCGAGAGGTTATGAAGAGGTATGTGTTTTAAATTAAGAGAAAATGGTCGGACTTGGTTAATTTTCAAATCTTGAACAATTATTTTTGGTGCAGTACTCTCATCTCTTTAAGTGTTCTCGTATCAACTTTTCCCCTCATCTTTTTTCCCTTGTTTTTTATCCTTATATATATAAACATTATTTGTATCCTTTTTATTTTATCATTTTTATGTATATTCATCTCTTTTTATATTATCTTTTTATAATAGTTTATCTTTTTCATCTTTATTTTCTTTCTTTTCCTTTTGGTGGTGATATCATGTATTGATTCATGTTAGCTGACCCCAATATCTTTTGGGATTAAGACTTGAATGTTGTTGTACTCTCAAGTGTTGTAGAAACTAGAAAGGCGTTGAAGCAATTAAAGTTGATTAATGGGTGAAAGAATTTGATTGCGTATGTACTATAGGTCTAGCATAAAATGGTCAACTTGGTCAACCATGTGGAACATGGCCAACATGTAAATTTTTTATTTGTAGGAGTTTCTAAGATAAAAAACAGATAATTGTTGAATAATTGAGAAAGATGTAAATAACATTTTAGTTGGACTGATGTTTCCGTTGCTTTATTTTTATTTTATGGTCCATATGATCAATTGAAAACATTGTTATGAAAATGTTGGATTAGGTATAAAACAGCCCATCACGATCAAAATTTAGATTTTTTAATTACTAATGTTTTCGGCAGAAATGGGCTCCTGAAATTAATAAGAAGAGATATTTTCCAAACTAAGACTAAATAAAGTTTGGAATTCCATGCTAATCTTCTCTGTATCGTTTCAAAACAGGACTACTATGTTTTTCTTCCTGAAATAGGACTAAAATGAAGTAATTATTGTCATTTTTTAGTCACGATTGCTAAATAGTTACATTACTATGCATTCAACTTGACTATTGATGGACTCGGGCCGGGTCGGGCCCGGGACCGGGCCCGGTCGGGCCGCCGGGTAGTATGACATGGGCCCGGGACCGGCCCGAGGGTTGGACGGGTCCGGTTCGGGCCGGGCCACCCGCCCGGGTCACGGGTCGGGTCCGGTTCGGGCCGGGCCGGTTAATTTTTTTTTATAATTTATATTTTATAGTTTATAGTTTTATACGAGTATTAAAAACAAACTTCAATTGCATTTATTTGAAATGAAATAGGAGCTACATTTGAAAATTAAAACAAACTTTAAGAGATAAAACATTTTGAAAATTGTAATCAATCGGAACTTCCCGCACCTCTCGATCCTTTGGCTTTGTCACATGACTTCATATGTTTGATTGCCATCCCGAATCCGCCTGAAACCCCCATGCTACATTTTTTCTCACACCATTTGCAAATTGCGTACCAGATCCCGGTCTTCGGGTCCTTCTGCTTATCAAAATTATACCGTATAATGGCATCTTGATTTTCCATCTTAATTTCTCAAGTATAAACTATAAAGTAGATATATAAATAATAAATATAATATATTGGAGAATAAGAGAATTAGAGAGTAGAGAGTTAAGAATAGGATTTAGGAAGAATTGGAGAAGAGATATGAAAAAATGTTTAAGATTAGGAGTATTTATAGGTTTTTTTACCCCCACCCCCCACCATCCCCCCACCAGCCAACCCCCCCGGACCCCCCTTTTCCCCACCCAACGGCTATATAGCCGTTTGGGTTGTCCCCAGCCCCACCCCCAACGGCTAGTAGCCCAAATCAATTTTTTTTTTTTTAAAATTAGACCCGGACCCGGGCTCGACCCGGCCGGGCCGGGTCACAATAATCCAGCACTGAGCCTGCCCCGCCCCTTCCCACCGGTTCGGGTCCATACCCGGTCCCGGACCGCCCGACCGGGCCGGTCCCGGGCCCGCACAGTACCGGGTGGCCCGAACCGAATCCATCCCTAAACTTGACAGTATTTATTATAATTAATGACTATTTTTTCATAACTAAACTGTCTGCGCTTCTTTGTTATGGAGCAGCAGTCAGTCCATGCAATCTTGGACGCGATTTTCACTATGGGTCATCCGAAAACAGTCTCTCTGTGCTTTAGTATAGGGGTAAGACGGTGTACATCCGACCCCCCCTTACCCCACCGTAGGTGGGAGCCTTTGCGGCACTGGGGTAAATGAAAATGAAAATGAAAATGATGAATGACTATTTTTTCAATCATGATCGTATTTTTCAATCATGAGAGTAACGACTCCTATTTCGAGAAGAAAAACATAGTGATCCTATTTTGGAATTTCCAAAGTTGTTTAGTCCTATTTAGGTCCATTTCCCAATTAAGAAAGACCTTGTAATTTGTAATGTTAATGAAAGAGTGAAAACATTTGTTTTCTTAGAGCCCATTTGGTAACATTGAAATTGATTGAATCGCTGAATCGATCGGTTCTGCTGAAACTTATGAACTTATCACTGAAGTGGATGGATTGGTTGATTTTGTTAATTTGTAAAAAATTAAATTTAAAATATTTTCTATTAATAAAATGAAAAAAGTTATAAGAAAAATAGCTAAAATAGACAATTCCGACTATATTTTCTTATTATTACACAATTCAACGTGTTAGATAAAAAATTACACGTTTGCTGAAAAAGTTGATTTATAAGTTTGATAAGTTGAAAAACATGATTATAAAATGGACTCTTAATTTTGACAACATTTATGAAAGAAATTATCGATGAGTACTTTGAAGGATAAAGGTGTGGAATGCCTCGTGTGGTGGTAATCGGAGGAATTCATCATCTGATTGCCTGTGATGCTAGCAAAAATATGTCTGAGCCTCGAAATGGAAATGATGAGATCCTCTCTGATCCAATGATTGACTTTGCAGTTACGACACCTGTCCCGATACTATCCAGTGATGAAAATACTTCTGAGGACATCCAAATGCTAATCTTTTCTGTTTTAGGTCATACAGAATTCAATGAGGAAAACAACAAAGGATTTACACAGGTACAAAGAAGAAGAAACAAATACACAAACTCAGCAGCTACAGAAGAAGCACAACTATTCTACCACGTGGGATATAACTCTCATCCAATGATCACCAGAAGTCACTCCAACAGACCACAAAATGTGGATGACTACTTTATGTATCCAGTAGATCAAAGATTTGACTCCCCACCTAAATTGGCGGTGGCTCTCAAGCGATTTAAAAATTCACACCCAGAAGCGAAAACCTACCAGCCCTACCTACAAAAGGCTATCAAAGTTTCATAACAAGTTTAACAGATCCATTTCTGCAACACTTGGAATTCCTTGGTCTAATTTCAACTGTTGATGTATTTCAATTTTCTTGTATGGATTATTTCCTTTGTACTTGCTACTTTTAATTAATAAAAAAGGAGGTGTTCCTCGGCGCCTCCACCCGTGTGGTTGACCCGAAAAAAAAAAGGTGTGGAATGCCTCGTTGTCGTTGATGATCAAATTTGGTTTCTTAATTTTGGTGGAGCAGGGGGTCTCAAAATGTATAACACGGAGTTATTAATAAAAAATGCTTTCCCCTTCATGCAAATGTTTACTTTAAAACCTGACTTTTAGAGCAAAACTTATACTTCGTAAATTTTTGTGTCAAATAGCTATATAACATATGTAAATAGTAGATTTATTGGAAAAGTAAAATTAATAGCTAAAATAATAAAAATACTCACTTTGATGCGTGAAGTAAACACTTCAAACTTGTGTATGTAATTTAAATATCTCAAAATTTATATAAAAAGTTATTTTAGCATTATTGTTATGTATTATTTCTTTCAAAAATATAAATTTATGGGGTTAATTACATAATTTAAAATAGCAAATTAAAAGTGTTGCAATTATATAGATTAGGGATAACAATATTTATTTTGCAATGAAAGTTGACAATGTTAATTGGTTTTCATTAATTCTAAAATATTTTAAATTATGCAATTAGCACAATAAATTTACATTTTTCAGAGAAAATACTTGAATTTGTAAAAGCTGCCGGTGCTAAGCAACCCTTCCCTCAGCGTAGGGTTTTAGGCTTTCCACCGTTTTTCGTGTGGTGATTGCGAGCGATCAATATCCGACGTGAACATAAGGTGAAACGATGGCTCAGAAACACACATAGGGAGGAGACGAAGCTCTGTCTCAATCGCTGCATAATGGTGAGGGAGAGACCTCGGCGGCGGCGGGTGCAAGAATGGTGGATAAGCTAACTGATCAGTACGACAGGCTAGGTCTGGGGTGTCCGGAGGATGAATTGATACTGGATGACGAGGAAGCAGCGGAACATGACCCTGCAGCGGCGAACAAGGTGGTGGAGACCTTCCCCTTGGTCGGTACGATTCTCACGGACAAAGTTGTAAAATTCCAAATCTTCCGTGATTTGATGGCATCTTTGTGGCGTCCGGGTAAAGGTGTACTCATTCAAGAGATTGGAGAAAAGAGGTATACGTTTACTTTTTATCACGAAATTGATATGCATCGTGTGCTAGATAATGGCCCCTGGTTATTTGATCAAAACTTGCTAGTATTGAGAGCTATTAAAGAGGGAGATATGCCATTGAGAGTGCCCCTAGATACGACTGATTTTTGGATACAGGTGCAGAATATCCCCTATGGATATTCAAATCTGGGTAATGCCCGCAAAATTGGGAATCACTTGCGTAAATTTATTTCCTGGGATGACAAACAATTTGATGAAAAGTGGGAAGCCTACATGAGGGTTCGGGTTATGTTGAATGTGAGTAAACCCTTAAGAGTGGGAACAACTCTGAAGAAGGGCAAAGGGGAGGGCTATTGGGTTGACTTCAAGTATGAGAAGCTTCCTAGTTTTTGTTTTGCATGCGGAGTTATGGGACATGCGGAAAAGTTTTGCCCCTTAATGTACGAAAAAGGGGATAAGGCTGTGGAGCGACCTTTTGGACCATGGTTGAGGGCGGGCGGAAGACGATCACATATTTCTTTGGGTAATAAATGGCTAGTCAACGAAGGAGGGGCAAGAAGAGTCCAAGGGGGGCTGCAAAGGAACCTTACAGGAACGGAGGATAAGGCTCAGGTGGAAGAGGACGAACCCAAGCTTGAGGGTACTAGAGGAAGTAGTGGTTGCATGGGAGAATAGAAACGGAGGCGGACCTGGGAGGCACTTGAACAAGAGCAAGAACATGCTGAGGAGGAAGATATGGCTCTGGATGGAACAGAAAACAGGGAAGAGGCGGACTGGAGCACCCAGACCCGCCTAAATATGTGAAGATCGTATGCATCTGGCAGTCTGCAGCTATTTTTGATTTTAAGTTAATTTATTTCATTGTTGGTTGGTTCTTTGGACGTCGTATTTTTGTGTTTGCAGTTACTTTTGTTTTTGTCAAGACTCTAGAACATAGGATTAATGATGGGGAGCTTAGTTTGCTTGTGTTTGGCTCAGGTAAGCCCAATTTAGGATCAACGAATCTGGTCGCTTCTATTGAGGTGATTGTTTACACAAATGGCTGCAGGGTAGTATATCTATCTATCTATCTATCTATCTATCTATCTATATACAAAAGGGAGCAAAAATCTGCTCAAATTCCCGCTCGAAAACATCATTATCATTGGTTGAAAGAAATGTATTAGATGATAATCCTTCTAAGTGATGTGAGATTTGTTCAAGAGTCCAAGACATACTTCAAGTGATGTGAGATTTGTGAGAGCTTTTACATATTACTCCTTCCGTCCCAAAAAATACTTCCAGTTTGAATCTGCACGCTTATTAAGAAAGTGAAATAAAGTGGAAATGTATGGTTGTAGTTGTGTAAGAAAAATGTAAAATGAATGTGAGCCACACAAATTGTCCAAAAAGGGAAAGTGGAAAATATTTTTTGGAACGACCCAAAAAGAAAAGTGGGAAACATTTTTTGGGACGGAGGTAGTATTAAATGTAGACATTACAATACTAGTAGTTTTTACACTCTACGTGAATTTAAAGGTGGGAAAAACACCCCGATATTACAAAAACTCATTAGTTTTCATAGAATATGACCATACATGTTTTTTTTGTCTCATATGACTTAAGTCATTACTAAATCTATGGGCATTCCTATTATTAGCCACATTATTAGGTATTTCATTTCCTACTTATTAGGGATTAAAATGAATGGAATATTCCAAGTTCTATAAAAATAGGAAGAATGATGTGGAATGTTATACAGTTATGACTAAAAAATAGGGATGGATATTAACACATAATATCACTCCAGAAAAAAAACAAAAGTAGTCATATTTTAGGAAAACTCATTATTTTAGAAATATTGCTGGTAATTCTCTCTTTAAAGGTATGTAGTTGGTAGGAGAGAAGTAAATAACTAAAAATTGGGGGGGAATATATGGACCAAATTGATAAAAAAGGTGGTTTATAACATTGCTAAAAAAACTGAGACATATATTGGTAAAAAAATGAAACCCAATGACACTTTTTATTCACGATTTTTCATATCCTAAATATTGTGAAATTAACATTTTCAATCTTTCTACTTTAATTTTGTCATGAAAAGTAGAAGACTAAAAATGTCTAATGGTCGTGTTTGATAATATTAGTTGTCTGCTTGCTAATAGCCGTTGAATCGGCACATTGAGAATAGCAAATTCTGTTAGCCTTTTTAACTAATCACTTTCATTAGCGTTTTGAAATAAAATATTAACTTAACTGTTTGCGATTAAATGTTCAAACTTACAATAACCGTTAAGGATATGAATTTAAAAGTATATATATTTAACTTAACTTTATTTTTTATTTTTAATAAGTCTTGGAAAAAGTTTTAAGACTTATATTTACGTTTATTTTTAATAACTAGTGCTGCTATCATTTTTAACATATGTACATTACCGCGATCACACACAAATAATTTTATTTAGAGCCCCTTGGTAACACTAACTTAAAGTGTTCAATTAGCCCCTTATTAGGAGGTTCTGCCCGGCCGTCGCCAATTGGAGAAGGTCCAGGTGGAATTTTTTGATTAAATTTTTTGAGCATCTTCTTCACTAAGTCTAGTTTACGCATACCAAATTTCATCTAAAAATTCAACCGGGAAGGCAGTTAAATGATTTTTTGAAGATAACAGCGCAGTTAAACAGCGCAGTACATTTCAGAAACTCATTTGACTGCCTTCCCGATTTAATTTTTAGCTGAAAGTTGATATGGGTAAAATAGACTTAATGAAGAAGAAGCTCAAAAAATTTTATCAAAAATGTTTACCGAGAACCGCCCCAATTGGTGACGGTCGGGCAGAACCTCCTATATAAGGGGCTAATTGAACACTTTAAATTAGTTCATGTACCTATTTGACCCTTTAGCCTTTCTGTTATTATCAAGCACGGCCGTTGATATATTTAGTCCCCCACTTTTCATGATTAATCAAAGTAGAAAGACGGAAGATGTCCATTTCACAATACATAAGGTATGAAATGTCGTGAATATTATAGTTGAGGATAAAAAGTATCTCACTTCCAAAAAAACTGACCAATTTGTCCGTGGGGCTTTCCTTTTTTTATCAATATGTCTCAGTAGTTTTTTTATTTATGAATTTGTCAAACCACCATTTTTTTTACAATTTTGGTAATTTGGGCGGAATATATGTGAGATATTATTTGAGTATGTAGATGTTGTTGAAGGAAATTACTTTAATGTGCATTCATTATAGATAGAAAATGTATCTAGAGATTATATGTATTGAGCTAATTGGCCCATTGTCTCATTCCTTGTAAAACCCTAATCCCTCCTATTTAAAGGGGGTTTACTAATGGAATGAACACACTTCTCTCACTTCCTTACAACACGTTATCAGCACGTAGTCCTAAACCTATTTTTTTCTCCCGTTCTCACTACACTCAATCCGCAGCCATGCCTCCAGCAGTCCAGCCGCGCCGCCAGCAATCCAGCCACGCTTGGCCGCCTCCCATCGCCCCGACCGTTGCCCAGCCTCCCCCCTTCCTAGCCTGCGACTCACCAATTCCCGGATCTGTGTTGAGGTATTTTTTTACTCAAAAATCATTGCAGAATCTTATGTATATGATTTATTGCATCATGTTTTTCATTGTGATGAACATCATTGATTTTTTTTTGAGATTAAGTTGTCATTTTTTTGAGATCCATTTCTTGCACACCAAGTGTTTGATGATATGCCTCATCCATTTTTTTGAAAGATAGATGCAATTTTTTATTATAATTCCGTAATGCTATATGTTATAATCATATAGTTGGAATCAATATCACATTATGCATCCCTCTTCATTTTTATACATCCATGTGATCATACTTTTTCGTAAAACTATATGCCATATATATATAGTTGGAATCAAAGATCACACGATTAATCTTATTTTCATGTATTTTATATGATTATATGATTATACTTTCTGTAAAGCTATATGTTAGATACATATAGTTGGAATTAAAATCATATTGTGCAATTTTTTAATTATTTTATACAAATTATGTGATTATATTTTTCCGTAATGCTATATGTCACTTACATATAGTTG